TACTAAAATTGTATAGAGAAAATTGGAGTACTAATACAATCTCTCTTGATCACAATTTTGACACCAAAATTTCACTCAGCCACTTTAGAAAAAGATAACATAACAGTGGCTCATGCTTAAATCCCACCAGCACTCTTCATGTTTGCATAGACATGCACCTGAGCCTTGACTTCTTAAGGATGGTGCTCCTTAAAGGTGGGAATTTATCAYAAATTCCTGAATGCCCCACTGCAGTGAAAGGAATGCACATTGCCTAGTTAACATAAAGCACAGTAAATGCCCCGTCTCTTGGAGGGAGGKCTGACGGTGCTGCAGCCCAGCATGAACAGAGGTACCCTGTGCTGCTGCTGTCACCCCGGGATGGGATCCAGCTTGGCTGGTGGCACCTCAAAACACGGCAGTGTGTCCTGGGAGAGGGGACTTGGGGRCTGGGCTGCTCCCTCACTCGCAGCTCTGCAGGAAGCCCCGAGATACAATTCCCTATAAAGTGCCAAAAATCCCTGTGGGCTGATGGGGTCTCACAAAGCCCCATGCCAGAGGGATGCTCCCGTGCATCCCTTCCAAGAGGCACCCCTGGGACATGGTCCTGCTCTCCTAGCAGCCACGGGCTGCATTGAGATGGGATGGATCCCACGTGGCTGGGTAGCACTCCTGGGGTCCGCGGCACAGGCAGGAGAGGGAGGGAAGCTGGGACAGACCTCCCTGTGAGGCGGAGGGAGCTGGAGCTGGCCCAAGCACGAGGGCGCATCGTCTCTAAGATACAGTGGCTTGGGGTAGCTTTTCCTAAACAAAGAGCATTATAAGGGAGCCACTGCTGGAAATTTCCATTCCTTTGTTGGGTTGATGCTGTGTAAATAAATGCATTCCTAAGATTTTTCATAATCCTGGAWAGGTCCGTAAATGAAACTGTACAGTTTGCCAAATCACTGGAGTTCATATATTATTCCTCWGCTGCTGGGAACATGATATACAAAGGCAGAGAATATAATGCAAGAAACATATGTTAAAGGTCTTCTTAGAAGCTCTCTGTGCATTTGTATGTGGCACGTACAAATAATTCTTTTGATTTGCTCTATGGGATTTAAATATTCAACCCATATTAYAGCTTTGGTTTGTGATATACTTACCTTAACTCTAAAAAATCCTTACATGACAAGTGACGTTGGCAGCACCATTCAACTATTCTCTAATTTAATATGGGGGTGCTTTGAAAGCATTTATAAAATAGTATGTGAGATAAATGTGTAATCAATCTTTTACTTTATGCTTCTGCTTTTCTTTTGATTTTAATTTAATTTAAATGTAAGACAATTTGGGAAGATTCATTTTCAATAATGATATTGTGCCTGTTGTATTTACAAGTTGAACGGCTTAAAAATGCATTTTCAATGTTTTAAATTTTTGTCATATATAACACTAACTACATAGAGGAAGAGATCCAGTCCTGTATCAGTGTATCGGTAATACAAACTTAGGGGTTACTTAAATGGTAAAGACTCTTATATCCTCATTGCTAGAAATCAGATATTTTTCTTAAAATAGGCTAGTAACTTCTCTCACTAATTCTACCCACTTAGACACAGTTAATTTGTATTTATCATATATATATAATACTTGCCTGTTTAATGTAATACAAATGCTTTAGAAATTTCTAACAGAAACTGTCCTTTAGACTACTGGAATGATGTYTATCACTCATCTTTTTCATTTTTGAGCACACGGACATTTATCTGATATTTAGACTTTCCAATAGCTGTGCCTGCTTTCTTTAGGATGAATATTTTAATTTTGAAAATCATAATCCCTAGTAACGCAGTTCTACTGGAAAAATATTGAAATTACCTMGAAATTACACTTTTATTTTTAAACACTTTTCAGTTTTAGATCTCAAAGTTCTAGACAAAAGAGAGCACTTAATAAGTATTGAATAAAATAGAAAACATACTTTTTCAACATTTGTATCTAATTGTGCAAAATACAGTGTTACCATTTATTTCCCAGACATGCTATTTTTCAGTTGGGTTAGAAATGTAAAAAACAGCCCCATAAACAAAACAACCTAGAAATTAAACCAAAGCAACCCCTCAAACAGGACTATGTCTATAAGGTAAGCCCAAATACTTCTGGCTAGCAGGTTAGCTCTCTAATTTATTTCTGTTTGGACACTGCCACAGTATCTCTAATTCCGTAGTGCTCATCTGAGATCCTAATTTTTCCTGACCTCAGTACTCACATTTGGGGGCTACTATGTCAAAGCATTTCAGCATCTAGGATGAAGTAGCCTGGTTCAGCCTTCTTTCAAACGAAAATTATAATGGCAATTGTAGGTCTTAAATCGGAATAGATTATAAATGCTTATTACAGTATTTTAATATAAAATATTGTTAATTAAGGGCATCAAACTTTAAACTAAATTAGTAGCAAATATGATCCCAGARACTGCAGTAACTTATCTACCACACAAACAGCTGAACAAATCCCTCACATTTATTTTTTCCAGGCTTTCAACTTTGATTAATAACATGGTAAAACCATGCATGTCTCAACCATATTAACCACAGCTATATTTTTAGTCTTACTGACATGAACACTTTAATATAATAAAAGGGAAAGGAAAACAGAAGAGGTGTTTCATTAGGACACGAGGATTACTGAAACYGCTGTGTGGAGTATTTGCCAGGAGGTGGTAGGGGAAGAGTTATTACTCACATTTTAGCATGTCGTTAGGATGTGGAGCGAGAGGATCCCTCAGTGAGATATGTTTGCTTTGGAAAAAGAAGTTAAGTAATCAGACTGTCCAAGCTCTTCTCACTGACGCAGTCATAAGAGCAAATTAGGAACTCAGTTAATGAGTTTCCAGCATTACGTGGAAAACTGTTTTTCTGATTTGGTTAAAAACTCCGCTAATACGACAGTGCCACAAGATCCAGAAGTTCACATATTACCCTGCCAGTCCTTTTTTATTGATAGATGGCTACATGCAAAAATAAATGAAGYATGCAACCTGGTTGGTTAAAAAAATAGCCCACACCTCAAGCCCTCAGCAAATTTTCTCTTGCAGCTGATTACAGAAGCTTATAACTGATTTTAAAAGCATTTATTAAGAGAAAAAATCCCCCAAATGCAAACAAAGCCCCCCTGAACRGCTGGTATAAGCAAAACACCTCAGCGTTATGTCAGTAAAGTAGCAGCCTCAAAACAAATCTAAAGACTAAYGCTTGCCTAATATAAAATTATTCAATATTAAACATGTTTGGCTTAATGATTGTGTGACACTTGCACTAGAGTTAAATTTAGTCCAGTTTGCTTGTYGACTGTTCATATGACAGGGGTGTTCCTTAAATGAATTTCTGACACTAAATTCATCYGAATGAACAGTATTAAAGGCATCATAAACAAACAATATTTGGCTGAGTAAGTAATTTGACTTTTTTCTTGCGGCATCTACCTGCCTACACATTTGCACCAGCAGTATGTTTGTAGCGATGTCTTTTGTAAGGGAGCCAAGCTTTATAAGTTGGAATAATGGGCAAAATCAGTCACATATTTTCTATTCCTATATTGTTTGCATGAAGAGGGCTACATTTCAAAATTGAGGGGAAGAGAACAAAGAGATCCAGGCATACAGCATCCTAATAGTCAGCCTGAAATCACTGCTCAGGATGGCACCCAAACAACACAGTCATGGCTGCACTGGAAACACCCAGGTACCACAAAAGGGATGCGATAGCCCAGTGAGAARGGCAAAGCAACAGCAAATAACTTGTCACACTTTGAGAAGAAAGCATWATTTCTGTTTTGACCTTCACAGCATTTTTAATGCACAACATCTGCAGTATCACAAATGCAGGGGAACAGGGAAGGCAGACATGCCATTTTTTCTAGCCACCAGAAAGCAGAAAAAAATGTGCAGAAAACATTTATATGGCAGCAGAGAAAGTGAGACCCTATGCACAGTCTTAYAGATGAACTTCAGGACCGGAGGGATTTGTCTCCCACTTGAATGCTGAACGATCACACGTGAACCATTCCCACTCATCTGCACTCCTTATTCTGACATTGGGACTTGCCTTTTTAACTAGCCCAGGCTTGGCTGAGACTAAGATAAACATGTTTGGCTGCAACTTTTTTTTTCTTTCAAAAAGAGGCAAACTGGATTATAGCAAATAACCTTTAAGATAATTAACTGACAATGCCGCAACTAGCATAAAATCTTCCTTCAGGCGACCCCTAATTTAAGTATTACTGGCACAAAGTGGAGACAGATTGTGCATCACCACCGCAATATTTACATAGCAGAAACCCACAGAGCAGGAAACGTGAGACTCAATGATGCACTAAATTAGGAACAATCATATTCTAGTGTTAATTTGCTTTCTCCTCTATCCAAAATTCAGGTCCAGCAATTGGTACAAATGCACATAAAACATTCCCATTTTCAATGATTAAGAACCACAATCTGTAAGCAGTTTTGCTCAAAAGTACATTCACTCACTACTGGGCATTTTTGAGGGATCAAACCCCCAAAAAGTGAAACAGGTCTACYAACACAGAGATTTTTTTAGAAATCCAAGGCTTCTTAATCTGTATCTTTCTTTTCATAAAAGATGTCTGTGCAAGCAGCCTGAGTCTTCTGCCAAGCTACCTGACTTTTGGTTGCAAATATTTTCCTCTGACAGTAATACTGTGATTCTGTGGTATAATGGAGAAGCAGTTTTAATTCTCTGATGCTGTAGATACTTGCAGGTACTCAAAAYGCTGTGTAATCAAAGAATTAAAATTAAAATGGGGAGGAAGGAAAAGATAGCCGTTATATTTCTAAATATATCAGGAAGTGATACATGTATAATATACATTCTATGCAGAGAGAGAKTCCACAAGCAATATTCTCAGTTACAGCACCCTTCATAAGACAGAAGCAAAGAGGCATCACCAACCATTCTAAATCTCAAACATTATTAAAATTTGGTTCCACTATGGCATATTAACAAAATATTTACCTTGCCTAATTGCTGATGTTCTTCAAAAGCAGAAATCAGTTCTTGTGCCCACTTTATTTTTTCAGGGCTCGGAGAGAACTGTTCCTGGACAACAGCAATTTGGTTGGGGTGAATCACCTGCTTACCTACAAAGAAGATTAATAACACCAGAATCATGCATCGACAAACAGATGTTCAAGCAAAATGTTCCAACCACTTGAGGCTCTCATATGCCTTGCAGACTTTCTTGCTCTTTAACTAATTATTTTACTTGGTTTCTTTWATTTTTAAAACCGGACAACAGGCAGATAGCTTTCCGACAGATTATTTTAGGGGTAAAAATACCTTGTGCTATGCTTGCATTCAGTACAGTTTGAAAGAGTGCACGATTCTTTCTCCCCCCTCCCCATTTCGATCTGTACATCTTCTCTCGGTCACTTCAGGTACAACTGTTTGTCTTAGGCAGTCAATAACAATTAAGTATAATGCACCTCTGAGTTTGACTATGTAAATAACAGCTCCAGCCACGCTTAAATAAGTTGTATTAAAGTRTGTTCAGAAAATGAGATCTGAAGAAGATGGGAAGATATCTGTAAGACTGAAAAGTTACCAGTACCCTAAGGATCATGCCCTAAATTCTCAGTATTGGTTTAGCATCATGTAATCCTCGATGTTGTAAAAATCTGTTGTTGCTGCAATTATTGGTAGTTGTAGGYAGGCTGCAATATTTATTTAGTCACTGGTGTATCAAACAACCACCAGCAGTGCCCTGAGGTTTTATGAAGCAGTTTTTTAGATCCTTTCTTATATAAACATAAGTTAAGAAAACAAAAATAGATGTCGTCTTTTTTTTTTTTTTTCACTAGAGATTTTCAAACATGAATAGACAGCCACATAATCCGTTTTAATCTATGATTGCACTTAGCTGCCTTAAAACAAATACATGTCTAATTTGTTTGACAGTTTTAAAAGTGCAGCGTTTGACGTTATTAGTTCATTTCTACGGGAATTTCACAGAGCGGTGYGATTGCTGTGGTTTACTTTTCAAGTGCATTAATAAAGAGAGGCTCCCGTAAATCCCAGCTTCCTGCGGAATAAATGACTCTCCTCGGTGCCAGATAACAAAACTGGTCAGAGGGATGAGGCTGATCCTGCAAAGCTGCCCCAAGTGAGCAGTCCCTGCAGACCGAGGGTCCCCAGCCCTGCCGTCCCGCTGCCGCAGCCTCCGGCCGGAGCGAGATTTCTGCACGCCAGGGAAAGTTTGGAGCGTCAGGATGTGARGAGGTTTCCTGAACCACCGGCTCTGCTCCCGTGTTCTTACTGACACTGAGCCAGCTGTATTTCACAAATCAGCCCGTCCCTGGATCGGAGAAGKCTCACGCWTGAGTGCAGGAATACACCTATTTTCGATGAAATAAGTACTGCAAAAAAACCCTGGGATTACTTTTATCAGACTGCAATGGGTCTGAGTGATAACCTGGAGTACAAAGAAAATCTACTTAATTAAATGAGCAAAGAAATAGTAGTCCTTTAGTGTTGCTACGTTCCTTTGCTAAAAAGCCATAAAGAGMTTGATATTTTATTTCATGTTAAACAGCATTTAGTTTATGATTTCACAGGCATGCAAATATTCTGTTTRAAATTTCGAAATCATAACTATTTTTAAATACCTTAAAAATAGGTAAAAGCTTAAACCCCATTAAGAACTATATAATTTTGGAAAGAAATTACACAGGGACTTCTTTTTTAAACTAATGTGTTTTACATTAGGTCTACTCAAGGATTTTTAGTCTGTTTAATAAAATGTCTTTGTTAATAAGCTGATGATGTTTCTTATTTGTAAGACAACAAATTCTCTCCAGCTAAACTACTAATTCCAAACTTGAAGTGTGTACAAGCATTTCTTGAAAAATCCCAAGGAGCTTGACTTTCTGAAAAAATGTTGAGCTTATTTTAAATTACATTTAAAATAAATTTTTAATGATAACAAAATAAAAAAAAAAGTGTAAAACATTTATGTAAAAAGATTTGCTTTTGATAAAGATATCTACAGGAGTCAAATATGTTCTTTATCATTAAAATGCTACCAAAAAATTCAGAGAGAATATAATCTAACTTCTGATTTATAATACTCAGTTGATTTTTGTCAACACTACCTATCCAAATAAGTCTATAATAGACATAATTTCATACAGGAATGAAGTAAATATTTTAAACAAAATTATTGTTATTGACAAGTTACTGAGAGAGTGCAGAATTGGAAGACATTAAAATTTATGACCATTAAATCCTTTTTACAGTACCACATGATATATCATGYTTTAAATCAATATTTGTCAAGTCTTTTAGGTAACTGTATGATGGTGTCATTTTAGTCTTCTACAAAAAGCCAAAAAAGACGAGACACCTTTACTGTTTCATATTTATATCTGGAGTCTCAGCATGTAGCACAGGACTTTCTATAATGACTAAGTCAGCTGTTAAAGCTTATGGCAAGKTTTACCTAATTTTTTACATAAACATTCCTAAAACCTGTGCCCATTTGTATAGGCARCACACTGATTTAAAATCCACAGGTACTGGTAGTGTAAACTATCTTGGTGCCTGCCTATGGATAGATATCTATTTATATATGAATAAAAAATTATAAATATACATATGAAGGGAACATTAATTTATCTGAATTAATAAATTTGAAAACATTTGATTTTATGTTTATATATACTCATTGAAGGAAAACCAGGCTGATTTTAAGATAACTGGAAAGGAAAACTTGGCTGCAATAAGCAGTGAGGTTCACAATAGCATTTAAATACCTGGTAAATTCTTCATTCTACTATTTTCCTTGTTTAATCTTGAGTGAAGCTATTTGATTACATTAAGGGCAATTTTAATGGCCTAATATGGGAACATCTAAGGACATAAAACTTTGCTRAATATTTTGGATTTACATTGCTTTTGAGAGTGGTGAGTTCAGCCCTGTGCATGCAAATGTTCTCCAGCTAAGAGAGGAATTTGCAAGACACAGCTCGTTTCAGTTTTGTTGATTTCAATGATTTTGATTCTTTGTAAAAAAAGTAGCAGGGAGGGATCATATATCTAAAAATTTGAAGAATTTCACATTTCAAACTCGTTATTAGGGGGACATTTCAGTACTTTCACATTATCAGAGGACTGTCAGTGGCAAATACAATGTGCACACTTCTGCTTTATACAAGGTCATGAATTAAGCTAAGGCTCATTTGTAATTTTCTGTSATGAATATGAAATTGAAAATGTTAAAATGTTTCATTTATATAGATTTGGAATAAAACATTTGTATAGGTCTGGAAAAACATGATTTTGCTTTCAGTTTTGAAATTACATTTTATTTCAATCAAAAAAAGAAGGAAAGATTATAAAATATTAGATTAACTGAGAGCAAAAGAAACAAAGAACAAGTAAAACATTTTAGATTGACCTAAAATATTTTTTCYTTTTTTACAGAAGAAAGTGAAAAATGCTGTTTTGTTTTAGCTTAAACAGATTTTTAATTTTTCCCTCCCAGCAAATCAGAAGASTCAGTATTGCTCCATCTCTAACTAMAGTTGGACTGATTGTCAGGCTGTTTGCTGTATTTTGGAAATGTGTTGCTCATAGCTGCAGAAAGGCAGGATGCAAAGAACAGGTGCTGTGAGTGCTAAATGAAATCCATACCTTTCACAGACCTTTATTCCTTGTATGGAAAGGCAAGTATGACTCACGTATGGCCAAGTTAGAAAGTCATTTTACATTCTAAATTGCTTTTTATTTGTCTTCTGTCTGGACCCTGTCCTAAGGTCAAACAACTTCCACCATAAAGTCAATGGAGTCCAAACCACCATCAGCGTTGGTTATGACCAGCATTTCTACATTTCCTAAATTGGCAGCCTCGGTTGAGCATTTAAATGTGCATTAAGCATTCAAAAAGAGTGCTCTCAAAGGTGCTGGGCATCTGCAACTCCATCTTCTGTCAACAGGAGGTTCAGATGTTTAYGTTTTTCAAGAAGCAAGCCTTTCCTTAAGCTAGGAAACATTGGTTGAGATGAGGTAGCCATCAGCAGGTGCTACCATTGAGCAGCTCTGTTATTTTCCCAACTTCAAAGGCAGATGAGCAGAGGGTGGAAGTCTCCATGGCTGTGGATAATGTAACTGTGAGGAGCTGGCTATTTCACCTCCAAAACAAGACCTGGTTTTGCAAATGTCACAGCTCAACAGACAGTAAAGCAGAATTTGTGCCGGAAAGCATCAATTGCTATTCTTTCACTGGAGTGCCAAAATCACTTAAAATTGGGTTTTTTTTTTTCTTTTTTTTTTTTTTTTTTTTTCATTTGGTGCTTTCAGATATCATATAGAGCTAACTGTAAAACAGAGTTTGCCAGGTGGCATTACCAGGACCCATGCTTTTGGTAACAGAAACCTAAGTGAGGTATTATTCTCGCATACATATGCTGAATGGTAGTCAGAGAAAAATAACGTAATGTTTGTCCTGTATGTTAGAATTCTCTAATGCATGTGTCAAATGGCTGATTTCTATGGCAAACCCCCAATCTTTGGTGGCTGCACTGTCCCAGTGGGGTGTCTGAGTGACCTGGTACACCAATGACAGGGTAACAGGCTGCATTACAGGACTGTGGGGCAAGGAGCCTGCTGCACTTGCTGTCTGCCAATAACCGTAGGTGTCACCAGCACTTACTGGGGGGAAAGCCAGGAGATGAAAAACAAATCAAAGAAAACAATAAGAGAATAACTTTCCCCTAGCAGTTAGCATACGAGATTTGCTTMTCAACTTCTTTTCCTAAAAAGCATTTTTTAACAACTGCCATTGTTCAAACAAAGAGAAAGGGCTCCAGTTGTGGAGGGGCCATGGCAGAGTACARTATTGCCTTTCCTGGGCTCTGTGATGGAAGGAATCACTGCACAGCCTCTACCCCAACTTCTCTTCAAAACCAGTCACACGCTTCAYGGCATGTGGTTTTAAAAAAGCAGCCTGTGACTTTTCAAAACTAGGCAAAACTATCAGCTGCAATTTTTAAGATACTAATAAACATAGAAGAGCTTGAGATCAATGAGGTTTTCAGTAAATGACCTGAAATAAAAATCAAGTAATTTGTCTAAGTGACAGTAAATGTAGCAATGTATTTAGAACGAACAAGATCCGTGTTATTTTGAGACATTGGCAGAAAGTCGTACCCGTGAATCCCATTGAGGCACCTTCCCTCGATTGCCTGCGGAGCCCATCTTCRTCATGGAAATCGATGTAAACAAGGTCTATTGCTTGAAGGCCAAATGCCTTTGCTGTGACTATTATTTTTTGCCTGGCATATAGAATGTCATGAGTTTCCTTACTGCTTGTTGCACCTAAGAAATAACGAGAACAAAGAAAAGCTGACAAGAGTGTTTTAAACCTTTCTGTTTTAAATATTTCTTATATTAAAAAAGAGGAAAGTTTGAGATTCTGTTTAACCAATTTAGAAAACAGAAGAGGGGTGTAAAGCTATACTGTATTGTCAAAATTATACTCTTCTAAGGAAAAAAGAAAGCTGCTTTAGCAAAAATAAAAAATACTGTYCCTTTAAACACTAGCTTATAAATTCAGATTTTGATTTAGTTTAAATCAGAAGYTGTAAGCCTGAAGTCTGTGGAAGCTTTGTCTGGTAAGGACTGCTGACTTGACTAAAGTAAAAGTAATTATTTGATTTTACTATTTATTGCATGTACAGTGAGAAGTATTACAGCAAGAGAAGCTTTACACAAATTTATATACTGGGTCCATCTAAATGGTTAAAAAATTCACACTGAGAATAGAATTGCACTTTCCTTGGTTCTGATTCTTGTCACAACTGATGTCCTAAGCTGAATATTTAAGCTTTAGTATTTGAATGAAAAATTGATGGTAGATGACTTCTGAGAAGAAGCAAAAGTATTCATGAGACTTCACGTGCTCACAGGGCACCAGCTAAGCAACGTACTCGTGAAGGCTAGTAGGAAAAAGATAATAACAATAATAACAATAAGGTAACTATTTAGACACAGATTTCCAGTCTGTAAGGATTATTTTAGTAAAGCAATACTAGTTTTTACATTAACATACTTATTTTAAATGTAGAAGTTGATGGCTGTGTGCTTTTATCTTTTATCTTTAAAATTAATTAGAARCTAAGCAGCCTCTTGTAAAAGAAATGGTGAAGCAGTTTTGTTTTKTAGGAAGACTAATTGTGCTTTCATGTGAATATATGGCTGTATTGATGTGTGACATATTTAAAATAAATTTATGAAAGCAAAATGTAGCAGGAGAGTATTTGTGCTTGATGTCAAAAGCCTGAGTGACAGTTGTATGTAAAGAAGTGGTGAAGCAGACATCAGAAATTTAGGACTTTCAAATGTAGTTCTAAAAAGAATGTGCATATTGTTTATGGATATAATATTTTTAAATTATTTCACTGACTCAACAGGGTGTTTTTTTAGTGGGTTTTTTTTTTTTCATTAGCATTTGGTATTGACTGGCAAGAAGTATATGAAAATCTCAGTGCCCTGTAACACAACGACTATGTTTTAATTTGCCAGTGATACGTTCTGCATTGAAAAGAAATTAAGGAGAAAAGTGAAAGCATAAAATGCAGAATCAAGTGTCATTACTTTAATTATTGCTGTCAGAAATTTCACAGGCTTCTCCAATGCGAATGCCACACATAAACATTTATAGTAAAGAGACAAGTAACAACCTATGCTGGCACGGAAATCCTCCCCTCCAAACACAACTGCATCCAAATGAAAGCCAGCCTGGGATCCTTTTCTCAGTGCTTCTTCACAGACAGCCTTCAAATGAGAACAGAGTATTAATGTCTACAGAAATGCAGGACACAGAGAGACTACAGAGGATATTACAGCAATTCAGTGTTACCAAAATCCTTCAGAGAAAATTGCTCCTATTAAGCAAAGCCACTGTAGACACTCGACAATGCACAGTGCTTTAAAATGACTCAGCRAAAGAGAAAAAGTATTTTTCTTTCCCTAAGCACCTATTGTAGGTAAATACAGATTGTAAATACAGGACATCAGTAGCAGGTTCCCCACCTTCTGGTTTACATTATGCCTTGGGTGTTACTGTGATCACTACTTCAGATATTTATGGAGCAATATGAGACAAAACATTTGGCAAATACTGCATAAAAACGAACAAAAAGTATTACATTTGATTAGTTTGACATGCAAYATATCTGCATGAGAAACCGAAATAAAGATCAGAATCTCTTTTATGAAATAAAGACTAGGAATGGCTTACAATTACTGCAAGYTCCTTATAAGGTAGAAGAATTTCTTCTACGATTGACAATTTAAAGTACTCTGCTACATGTAACTAAAAATAAGCTAAGGAAGTTAAAAATGCAACAAGTGCTGCAGAAAAGCATTAAAACAAAAGTAAAAAAAATGTTTCTGTAACTATTCCACCAGGAGAGTAATATTGCTATTTTATATTGATGTTTGGATAATGTCAGTCTCTTTTAAAGCCAAGGTACGTGGAGAGAGACAGATGTAATTACCAGGTTTACTAATGGGTGTTCTTCTATGGCAGCTAGTGGGACACAAAATTATTCTTTAAAAGAGTGCTTTAAAAAGCAACTCTCCTGTCAGCATCAGGAATTACAATATTAAACCTCCACTATAAAATACTGTAGTGAAGAAAAYCCTCAGATGGTTTAAAATATGGTCTATTTCTGTGTTTGCACACTGGACAGGAGCGTGTCCATTTGGTTACTGCTTTATTATGTTCCCAGATAGGTTAGTGTGTGCTGCAAGATAAATGGCTGTATCAAACGCTCAGGCTGCCTGTGAGGTACTTCTGGAGGTACTTCTGATCTGTGTGTCCTCAGCTGGTCTGAAACTTTTCCCTTAGAGCTTGGGAGGGGAGTGCAGAGTTCCTTGTGCGTGCACAAGATCTTCCGTTTCATTACCACGCTGCCTCGCCTTTCTGAAAAACCTGGACTCGACAGTAAACGTTGGGGAGTGACTTATATTAAAATGAAATTTATAAATCAGGCTTGATCTMAAATTACCTTATAAAAAAGAGCGTGTTCTTCAGGTATTTTCAAAATTAATTCTATTTCTATTCTTAGCATTAAACACTCCATCATACACACACAGAAATTATCACATGTAATATTATTAGTATAAACCATTAGAAAGGTGCAGTTTAGCAATAGCGAAATGATGATTAACTCTTATTTCAAATTAAGTGTTCTACAAAAGTTGAATCCGACAGCTACTAAATAGCCAAGTGTACTGCAACACTGAGTATTCCAAATCTTTGGAGAGGCCCATTTCCACTCCAAGTGTGTTCAAAACAGTAACAGGAGGGAAGAGAGGTTTTGTTATTTGGCATGGATTGTCTGGAACTGTTCCGCCACTGGAATATTTTGCTTTTATGAAGTCCTTTACAATACAAATATCAGAGTTCAATGTGCAAATGTTTTTGGGGATTGAACAATATGTTTAGTATTTTTAACCTCTCTTCCTTGGTGAAATTAGGGAGACACTGAGGAATATTCTGCTTATACTGGTTTGCTGAAATGGCAAGATATGAACACTTCAAGACTTGCTTACCTTAAAATTGAGCAAGCCCATTGCAGTTTCCACAAAGGGGATAAAATTCATTGGTTCTACAAGTGTTCGGCCTTTCAGGTGATGTAAGAATTTGTCTGAAAACTAAAACTAGATAGAATGAACTATCAGAGAGAAAAAAAACCAACAGTCTACATGTATACACAGCATGGCAAATATTCACCTGACAGTAACAAACACCCCTCCCCACCCCAAAACCTGATAAGTRAAAAAAAATTAGAACAGCTTTTAACAAGGCCTGTGATTTGAAACTGCAGCATTCCCATACTTTTCTAAATTTGGAGGCTGGYTTGCAAGAAAAAAAAAAAAATCCARGCTTAGCACCTCTCACCCTGGCTTAGTGAAATGCAAATCCATGGGCCCTGAAAAACAATGAAGTGCTGCTGTACCTGAGGTCCGGTTTTGTTTCAGGTCCAGCACTGCCATCACTGGAAGTGCTCCCCAGCCTTCTAAGTGGCATCCGTATTATTCATTACGGCACCGTTACCCTTTTGTTCAATAGGCTTTTCTTCATAATTTTTTAGCTTACCTAGGAAGGCCTTAAAAAGGAAGTTTAATTCTTTGAAGACCAAAGCTTGCCAATTTTTTCCATGAGACCAGTTCACAGYTAGCTCTGAGCTGCCAGTGGGGTAGCCCAAATTCCAAAATCTATCATCTGGAAACATACAAAAGCTCTTGCACAGATTTTTCCCCTTTCAAAAGGGGAAAAAAAAAGGGGGAAAAACCTTCAGCCCTATATTGTAAATGTATTATGTCTGTCCAGATCAAGTAATTTGTGTCAAGATAAACATATTGCAGGTACTGCAAAAATGTTAGTAAATAAAGACAAAAATCACATATGCATATATTTTAAATTTAAGGAATATTCGACTATTAATGGATATCAAAGGAAAGGGAATTTTAATCATCTCTCCATTCAGTCTCAGTTGGGTAAATCATATCTAAGAGATTTGCATAAATATAAACCATCAAAGACTTTTCATCTTCAAAGGGGGTTTCAAGACCCTATAAGCTTTGTACTGTAATCATCGCAGGTCACAACCCTGCAGGAATAAGGCTGCTATGGCAACATAAAAAACTAATGCTTAAGGCTTAGCATAATATTCTGACTAATAGAAAGGAAACTCATTTTAAAAGCTGGCAGCCTATTTACCAGAAGCTGGATTAGAGGTGTTATTTCCCCTTTTAGCTTCCCCCCACCACCCCTCCCCAAAAGAAGGAAAATCTAATCACCCAGATCTTTGAAAAAAAAAAAAAAAAAAAAAAAAAAAAAAAAAAAAAAAAAAAAAAAAAAAAAAAAAAAAAAAAAAAGCTTTCTAGCAATTTGCAGTAACTTTACAATTAGGCCAAAATAAATCACAGGTTTCTTCAATGAAGAATTCTGCCCTCCCCATCCCTGCTTGGCATCGTCACCATGGCCCTCTTGGTAACTTTTCTTTAGTGAATTGCACCCAAAAATGTGCAAGGAGAAAAAAAAAATCAATCAATTCAATGTACAGTATGGCAGGTACTACAGTGACAGAAAACTGTAAAGTTCAGCAAGGCAAATGAGAAAATGAGATAATAATAATGGCATTGGCATATATTCTTAAGACTCCTATCTGGTTTTTAATTTTTTTAGGGGAATAAAAAAGTAAAAAATGTTACTGTGTGTATTTTTTAGGTGCAAATTAAAGAGCAGASTTCTTATTTTATTTTAAAATATTTTAAAAGTCACACTCCTGGGATTCTTGCCATCTTTTGTTTTGAAGGTAAAGCAAAAAAAAAAGCACATTTAATTAAATATTGCCTCCCTTCCTCTCTCTTGTAAAAGATTTGCAATAAGCACCAATACAAAAGGTAACGAGTGGAGAAGTTTCAATTAATTTTTTTTTTTTCAAAAGGAGACGATTAAATGTTTCCGGCCTGGTAAAGTGTTCATTTCAGGGAGAAAGGGAAAAAAAAAAAAAGAAGGCGGAGGAAAAAAAACCTCCACAAAGCTTGGGGAGGGGATGAAGTAGCAAGGCCTCAGCAATTCTTTCAATTCCAGTGCACACCCAATAGTGTGTCGGGAAGAATGCACACTGGTCGGGATTTGTGGGAGAATTGTCCCACCACAAAGGAGGGAGAGTTACGCTTGTTATAGTCCAATAAGCCATGCCAGTCAAACAAGTACCCACACTAGGGACAAAAGGAAAGCAAGAGATTCTCACACAAAAGAAAACAAGTAAGCCCATCTTTTAGTTGTGCATCAGCCTCCAGGTTTTCTGCTGCACATAAATAAAAATGAAGGGGGGGAGCGGGTGTGCATGGGGGGAAAGAAACAGCTTCTGGGAGGCTGAAAAATCATGCTGGAGTGAATTTTTGGAGGATTGGGAAAAGAAGGCAGCGGTGTTAAGGCAGAGCATGTTCTTTGTGTGCAAAGGTTGGGCAAAGGGAGAAGAGAAGCAAAGGGAGAAGAGAAGCAAAAGAAGGACAATGAGGCAGAATCTTCTGGAGCTGGCTTGCTTTCCATGATGGAAATAAAAGTTAGCGAGAGGGAAAGTGGAAAAGGATGAGGGGACAAAGAGCCCCGGTGTCCCATCTCCCTGCAAAACCTACTTGGTGGCAGCAAGGGCCCTGCCATTTCRGTACCATGAATATTCATCACTGACAAGTTACACCTAACACTTACATGGCTGTAAACCCTGAGAGGTGTGCTCTGGTTAATTTAATTACCCGTCGGTGGAAGGGGATGGCGAACCTTCCGTGGCAAGCGGTGCCGAAGGGGCAGCGCCACAGAACGGACGGGACCTGTCACGCACCCGCGTACGGGGCTGCGCTCTGTTGTACGCTCAGGCCGATCTCAATGGTTTGATCAAGGTTAGATGCTGAGATTAAAATAGATCCTAATACATCTCCCTGCCTTTCATCACAGCTTGCAYGCGTGCTAGTTGCTCAGCTAGCGGTTTGCAAAAATATGAAGTGAATAATTAAGCATTATTCCTTTACTGGCGTGTTACAGCAATAATGGTATATCCAAACAAGCATCCCTCTTTTTTGACAATTAAAACAATTATAGCATAATTAGGCCTATTTCAAAGTTTTCTTAAGTAATTTGACATGCCAACCATTTACATTTCAGGTTTTTATTGGCTGAAAAGTCAGTTGTGAAACGCAAACACACCTGTCAGCAATTAAAAAGGAAGAAATAGAGAACTGTTCAGGAAATAATATCTGTGCTAATTAAAAACACTAGTTAAAAGCTTCCTGTTTGTTCCTCCAGTTGCCCCAAGGAGTGACCTTCCCCCCAACCCATTTTTTCATGTGTTGCWAACATGGTTTCCCATCTCCTGCTTCCAATGCATGTAACTAAGGCTCATGGATAGATAGGAATTTTGCTCGTKCAGGTAGTTAGAGGAGAGTCAGGCATTTTACCCTCCTATTTTTGATAATGTATTCTGACGGCAATATTGGTTCTTTGTCATCCATGAGAAAAATACACCTGGTTTTCTTCATAAACGTGTTCCTTACATGCTTTTTATGCACTACAACACACACATTTAAATGGATGCACTTCCCAATCACCTCAGCTGAGCAATGACATTAWGTGGCATTTGCAGCCTTGCTCTTAACTCACAGTCATTCATCTCTGTGCCTGTATGAGCCTGGCCCAACAGCTTCAGTCAAAAACTGCCATGATGTTGGCACTTACCCATCTTATTTCCTCAACATTTTCAACCTTTGGCAGCATCATGCTTGAAGGAAGGGTCTTAGACTGCAAAAGCACCTCTAGATCTTCTTCTGCAAGGCCGCTGGACACAGAGTTTATCCTGACACACTTTTCAGCATGGCCGAAGTCAAACTCTTCAAGGGTTTTCACAATGGTCAGTCGTGCTTCTCTCTACAATATATATGAGTTCAGATGCACAAGAGAAGAAAGCATATTTTGTATTGTCAGAAAAATGCACTGAGAAGAAAACTTGTTGAAATGCATGGTGAAAAAGCTAGACAGTCAGTATAGTGGTGTCCCCAAAATGTCTGTCAGTCTCGGACTTTATTGAAGGAGTCATCACCAGAACATCACAATTTTACCTTCCTCTTTACTKTTTTCTTACAACATTGTAAATTCAATGCTTAGGGCTTTTACTACTTGTAGAAAACTAGACTTTTGTGTCTGCTGATGTTGCTGGTGTGCCACAAATACAAATCTTTACACTAACATAACATGTTGCCCTAASTGTCTGCTCTTTCAAAAATGACGTGTTCTTAAATTTGCATAGAACAATTAATTTTTTAAATTCATCTCTATATTGCCTGAACATCAAAAAGCACAGATGTACGTATTCTTCTTTAGCTTTCCTTTACTGCATGTCTTCAAAGTGCATTAAAGGCAGTAATGGAGTTCACAACTCGCATATAAAAACAACACTGAAATAATTCTGAGATATTTCATAGACCACATAAAAAGGTATTCTGTTGGCACAAAGTAAAATCTCCAAAGGCACACGCTTCCCCTGGTCGTTTGCTATTTTTGTGAATTTAAATTTAMAATTCTGTTTAACATTTGATTTGCACCCAATACTGGCATGCTTTTCCAAAATGAAATGCATTTCTTGTCCTGGAGAAGGGGGTAGGGGTGGAAGAAGGGTGCTGGACTCTCTGCTTCCTGCCAGCTGAAGTTTCAACCCTAAATTCCTTCCACTCACCAACAGCCCCTAACAAATTTGCATTGTCAAAATGCACACTTATCAAAAGTAATTTCATTTGTGAAGAGTTTTTATGGGGCTAATAAAACTTTAAAGCTCCTGACTCATGGAGGCTCAGGAACAGCTTTAACAATATGCAGTTGCTGAATAGAGACGCTTTTCAAGAAAACAGGCAAACTCAGGGGGRAAAAAACCAAAACAAAAAAAATCATCAAAGTTAATATCCAGGCTAACACAAATCAGTGAGAGAGCACATGACAGTAGATTTAAACCAGACGGATGCAAATCTCTSCCGGCAAGAGGGGCAGAGGTGGTTTCCCAATGTGGTCTGAGTTAAACAGTGTGAGGGAACAGTAGCTTACAGTTGTCAGGACTGATGAGAACGGGGTCTCCCAGGCCAGTTTAAGACAGCTCTGCAGTGTACTGATTTACAGGGCTGGGACCCTTGATAATTAGGGTAAGTTTAGAGAAAAGCAATTGGTGACTCTAACTGGTTAAAAGGAAGGAATAATGAAGCAGAAAGTTAATGAAATYTGAAGCGAACAGCCTTCAGCTGGGGGCTACTAGCCGTGCTTCTCCGAAGGTTGGGAGCATATGCCCGTTAATSGGACAGACGGGAACAAGGCACCCATGTACGTATCCCTGGGTTGCGATCAAGGGGCAGGCTCAGAGGTAATCTCTGGAAAATGCAACCCAAAACATTCCAGCTGCTGTGAGTGGACTGTGTCTGGGGCCACCAGAAAAGCCACATAAAGATGCACGCACCTTAGTACAAACACATCCAGCTGGAAGACAGCTCCTGTGCATAGCTGTCTGAAATGGTTCTTCYGAATTAGGTAAACTGAACCATATGATGCCAATACCAGGGAATGCAAATCCCTTATGTTTTCCTTCTCTGACCAGGGGTAATGGGTTCATAGGGCTGGGCTGAAAGTTTCTGGATATGATGCAGAAGGGTAGTTTAAACACACACTCCAAACCGATTTACGCTTTTAATTAAAGTCAGATTATCACCATTTCAGCACACACTGACCAAATTTGCAAAAGAGAGATCTCCCCAAAGTATCCTCTAAGGCAGCACCCAATTCCAACTGAAGGCACATCACTAGCATACTTGAAGTCAAATTTGTTACGATTTTTTTTCAGAATATAATAATGAGCTCTAGAYTATCTCATATCTGTTTTTCTCCTCAGTCTGCAAATGCCCTTCCCAAAAAAGACAGATCGTGTCTTTCTAGGTATATTTCCATACAAAACACTTATTAACAGGCTGTTGCTGTTATCAATTTACATAAACTAAATGTGCAGCCCTCTGGTACGTATCCCAAAAATAACCAACAACTTCACTGAATTTATACCAACCGACAAACATGGGGAGGGGGTTGTTGTTTTTTCCCATATTTTAATAGAAAATATGTTGCTATGTTAGTTAACACACCCATGCCATCTGTTGGGTTGAGAATCGATGCATTTTCTTAGAACCACTACATTTTAGATCTGTCTGCCTAGATACCCCCAGAATGRAAATGTTTCCTTTGCATGATATAATACTTCCAGTCACTATAGTTTCCMCATTAAGAATTAATTTATGTTTTTAATTGTGGAACAAACTGAGGTGATCTGGCTGCCAAAGCCAGAGCTTACGAKGGGGCTGACTCAGTGCCTACCCTTCCTACAATGGAGGAAATCCCATTGATGTAAGTGGRGAGTATCAGGCCCCCATAAAGGGTTCCAATAAAACATTTCATGGGTAAATAAAAGAAGTATATACTAAAACCTTTGACTAAATGTACTAAAAGCATGGAGGAAAGGGAGAGCCCTTTCTGCCTCACTATGCAGGGAAATGTAGATGATATTCTTAAGAAAGGATTCACACAAAAGCTAAAATTCCAAGCTAGGCAAACTACTTCAACATYATAACAGAGAAAAAAGTACTCCTTGAGACAATGATATCTTTCCAGCCAAGAATGGGAAAATTAGAATTTTTTAGGAATGGTGAGAAAAACATTTTCCCTGTTCTTCACATGAGAACTACAACATCAGATAATACTTTGTCATGAAAGAATAGCTGGTAAAGAAATAAAGCAAATCATTATGTAAGATATGTAATGCCCGGGTAGCTTGAAATGGTGGTGTCCTTATTAGGTCCCATGGAAGTTGGGTTCTTCATCAAACTGAACAAGAGAGAAAGACAACAGAGAGCTTCATGGCAAACAGGGATACTACTAAAATACGCWAAATTTGCAACTTGTGCTGGAAAGCTCACTGAGGAAAAGAAAATGTTGGTCATGGTGGCTACTTTAGCATCCCTTCTGTTTGACTCTGAAGACACAGGAAGAGGTTCATCACCACGTGCAGCTACACCAACTGGTGAAGATAAAGGCTTCGGTGACGCAGCATTGCTGACAAATGCATTCCTACCCAAACACACAGAGACTGAAATGAAAAATGGGAATATGTGTATTGTCGGCTCGACTGGCACCCATTAAACCTAATAACTAACCATCCTCATGAGTTTCTAGCTCTGAATTATCAAATCTGCAAAGAAAACAACATCCGTCCACTTTTACACTCCAGTGGAAGAGGTGGTCCCTCGCGGCAGGGCTGCGCAGTCTCGCCATCTGGAGAATAAATCGAGTGTGAAGTACAGTATAGTTTGGGACCAAGCTCCGTGGCGGCAGCCCAGCAGTTAGTTCATTAGTCCCAAACTTGYGGGGATTAGTGCGGTATCAGCTCTACTGTCGGATGGGATCAGGCAGGCAGAGCGCGAGACTCGGGGAAGGGGGYGGCGGCAAAGAAGGAGCCCCTTGGTCTCGTTGATAAAACCACCCAGCAAAAGTGTACCCAAATAGGTGCTTCTGGTAACAGTATTTGGAAACAGTTTTCCATTATCTGAATMAGTACCTTTCCATTTTTCCTTTTTGTTTTATCCCATCTTTTCCCCCTTTACATTATATGTCAAAACATAGGAATTTCCACTTCAGAACAGAAAAGCCACAACACTGGAAGAAACAATGCCACAAATCTGGAAGCTCAGCCTCCCACTCATCCTGGACACCCTGTTAATACAGCAAAAATGAAACAAAGATGGTCAGATTAACAGCAGATGGAAAAATTACGTTTTCTTCTTTCTTTTCAAACTGGTACAATTCTCTATAAAACCTGCTTTTCAGCTCTGTGATTTCTAAACCTACCTGATTTTGAGGGCAAAATCTCTGTTTTGCTTTATTTTTTTTTTGCCTA